AGTGCCTTCACAACACTGGGGGAAACTTGTCAACTGAAGAAGAAATGAGTGGTTCCCCGGGGATGTTCGTACCTGAAGACATTTGTTTCTAAGTTTTTCTGAGATGTTTCTTGTGGGTCTTGTCTCACACAGCCCTGCTGTCTTTTCTCCACATTCCAGAACCTCCCACTTTCTCCTCCAAACTCCTTTGGCTTTTCCTCCGGTCTCCATCTCCTCCACATCCCTGCCCTCTCCTTGGACACCTGCCTCTGCCCTTTTGCACCTTTCAATAGGAGGCCTCTGTACAGCTGGAAAGAGCAGCCTCCATCTGGGCTTTATTCCTAGACTGAAGTGCAATGAAGGTTTTAGGAAGCCCTGGGGTCCTGAAACAGGGCCTAGCAAGGCCAGGAGTAGGCATAGGGAGATGGCAGCATCAGACAGGTGTGCTGGGTGTAGCTTTAGCACCAGAGGCAAGAAGCATCCAGAAGCCTCGGGGGAAATGAGAGGGTTGGAGGGGTTAGTGGGGGACTAGGATTTGATGGTGGGCGTTGTCATGGAGATCTATGGGGATTCAGTTATCTCTTTGAAATGATCCCTTCAAAAAAATCCCAGGGAATCGGATCCATCCATGAGGCAGCAGGACCCAGACATCCTGGTTAAATGTCTCAGACGGAGGACAGAAGATCAGAAGTACAGAGTCCTTTCTAAGAAACAGGGAGAGCTCTTTCCCAGGCCGGGAGCTCTCTGGGGAACTGGCACGTTGGACTAGAAGTGAGGTGGACCTGGCCATTCCAGCTTTGAGTAGGTCCAGCAGAGACACTCTGGCCACCCAATGTGGTTGCTCTGAAAGTTGCTCTGGCTGGGGTGTGGTGGAAGCTGTGCTCCATTATGCCTCCCACAGAAGAGGCAGTCATTCCAACTGCCCCTCTACCCTCCTAGAGTGCTGTGGAGTTGGGGGGCTGGCTCCCCACAGGGGCCTTGACTTGGCCTCCAGATGTCCCCCCCCTCCATGTTCATCCCTGTGCTCCTCACCAGCCCTGGCCTGTTGTCAAGGTCGATGGGGACTCTGAGTGAAGCCACAGCCGCCAGAGCAGAAGGGCCTGTCCCCAGAGCGGCCCTGCAGGTGCTGCGCCAGGCCGGAGCTGGACCGGAAACTGCACTCGCAGTCTTGCCCCTGTGGACTCCCTGGTGCCACACAGCCCTGAGCTCTGTCTGAAGCCCTTGCTGCACTGGTCACAGTGGTGGGGCCGCTCCCCCCGTGGTCCTGCTGGTGGTGTTGCAGGTTGGAGTAGCCAGAGCCCTCGGGATACTGGGGGCAGAAGAAGGGCTTCTCATGTGCTGCACTGTGTGGCAGCAGGCTACTGCCCGCACCCGAGGGAAGAGCACACCTAGCAGGTGTGGGCCGGCAGGGACAGCAGAGGAACCAAGTGGTGGACCCACTGGTGGGCCACGAGCCAGGGGTGCTGGCTGAAGCCATGGCCACACTAGCCGCACAGGTAGGGCTTCTCCCCTGTGAGCATCCGTCCGTAGGTGCTGGGCTCAGCGGACACTCTGGGTGAAGTGCTTGCCACACTCGGGGCAGGGGAAGCTGTGCTCACTAAGTGAGTCTTCTCACGATAGACGAGGCTGGGTGGCTCCTGAACCCCATCCACAGGTGACACAGACGTAGGGCCATGTGCCTGTGTGAACAGTGGTGTGCTGCAGCCGGCCAGAGCTCTGGGGAGAAGCCCTTGCTACACTGGTGGGCATGTGTGTCGGGGGCTGGGGCAGGTAGGAGCTGTGGCCACACCGGCTGCAGGAGCAGGGCCTGTCACCTGTGTGGGAGTGTAGGTACAGGGTCAGGCTGGGCCCCCTGGCTGAAGCGCTTCCCACATTTGGGGCACGGAAAGGGGAGTTCACATTCCAGGCTGGAAAGGGGCTTCATGGTGGGGGGTGGGGCCTCTGGTAGGAGAAGTTGGAAAAGGTCAGTTGTGACAGCTGAGGGGTCAAAGGGTCCCACAGAAGATAGGGAGCTGGAGATCTGTCCTGCCTTCTCCTCTTCCTTTGCTCCCCGCCTGCCTGTCGGGGGAGGGGAGACTCAGGTGAGATCAGCAAGGAGGAGGGGGAGGCTGAAGAGACAGAGGTGGGAGAGCACAGGCCCCCCACCTGAAGGAGGGGTTAGGGACTTTGGTGACCCTTCCCTTCCCCCCAGGGTGAAGTGTGGAGTTGGTGGGGGAAACCCAGGGCACAACTTGCCTGTGAGCAGTTAGCCAGGTTTTGAGGGCCGCCAGGCAAGGACAGAGCCCTCAGAGATAGGCCTCACCTGGCAGGGGTCTCCTTAGGGCACTTTCTCTCAGGCTCCTGGGGCCCTGGGCTCTGGGGCTCAGCTTCTGCATTCAGACACATGGTCTGTTCCGGTTTGGGGTCTCAGAAGCCTGAGTTAAATGGGGGGGGGGTAGGTAAGGGACAGAAAGGCTCACCTTCTACCTCTCCCTCAGGCCCCCTCCCCCAAAGATTCCCTCCCATCCATCTCAGCCTGGTCCCACATCCTTTGTGACCCCCTCCTGTATGGGACACTTGCCATTCACCCTATGAAGAAGGGAGCTAATATGTCACGGAACATCTCGGGCAGTGGTTTTCAGCCTAGGGCATATCAGAAATCACCAGGAGGGCTTGTTAAGACACAACTGCTGGGGCCAACTGATGGCGTAGTGGTTAAGTTCGCACGTTCTGCTTCTGCGGGCCCGGGTTCGCCAGTTCGGATCCTGGGTAGGGACCTATGCACCACTTGGCAAACCATGCTGTGGCAGGCATCCCACATATAAAGTAGAGGAAGATGGGCACGGAGGTTAGCTCAGGGCCAGTCTTCCTCAGCAAAAAGAGGAGGATTGGCGGCAGATGTTAGCTCAGGGCTAATCTCCCCGCCCCCCCCACAAAAACACAGCATTAAAACAAAACACACAATTGTTGGCCCCACTTCCAGAGTTTCTTGTGCAAGGTCGCTCAGTTTGCAAGTCGCTGGGCAAAGATCCCCACTCAGGTCTGTCCCATTCTAGCATCAACCTTTCCTTCTTTCTCCACATTGCTCCTTTGCAATGTGGATATTCTCTTACATGTATTTTGTTCCTCAACAAAGTAGTCGAATTCCCTTTTGTATACTTTGTATCTTTCACTTTGCCTAACCTGTACATGCAGCCCCAATTGAGGGACCGAACTAACCCGGTGGAGCCAGGGGTGGAACAGAATTGGAGCTCCCTGGCCCTCCCGCGCCCCCCTCCCCCCCAACCCCCACCCCCAGCCCCTGCCGGCATCCGAAAGGAGAATGCCCCTTCAGGGAAAAGTAGTTATTTTTCCTTCTGGGTGGGTAGAAGAGACTTACCTAGGGAAACGGTTTCGTGTGTCTCCCACTTGGTGTCACCTAAATAAACAGGCTTCTCTGTGAAATTCATAGTCATGGGACAGAGGAGGGTAGAGAGAGGGGGCAGGAGGAGAAATGTGAGAAGTGGAGAGAACTGCAGGGCGGGGCGAAGGTGTCGACTGGGGAGCCGAGGAGGGATAGAGGGGCCCCAGAGGGGAGAGATAGGGGGCCAGGGGCCGCAGGGGGTTCCATAGTGAAGCCAGAGGGCGGCGGAACAGAGGCAGAAGAGGCTGCCGGATGGTGAGGGCTGGGGAGAAGGAGGAGCGCGATCCCAGGAGCCCCTGGAACCAGAAGAGAAGCCAGGTCCATTCCACACTCTTCGGCTTCCACCTCGGTTTCTCTCCCGACTCCTTCCCATCTGTTTCTCTTCCTTGAAACTCCGGGAGCAACGCCCTTCTTCCTCTTGCCCCAACATCCCAGGACTGCCACACCCCCTGGATACCTGGGGTCGGAGAGAAGGGGAGCCAGGATCAGGGTTCCGTGGAGGCGGGTGTAGAAGGGGGTTGCTGCGAGGGTGAGGTGGGTGTCGTCCTTTTCTGCAGGGCAAGAGGTCTCCGGGTGCGGGGAGCGCCAGGTCCCCAGGGCTGCGGTACTTGCCGAGGCTGGAGGTTGCCCCATGAGTCCGCGGTATTAAGGGTACTAGGGACTAGGGGAACGAACGGGAAATCTGAGACGTGGAGTGGGGTGCCCTCGGGTCGGCCGGTCAGATCCAGAGTCTGCCTCCTCTGTCAACAGGGCAGAGAACCGAGGGAGCCGCAGGAATTTGGGGCGGGTCAGAGTGGGGGCGCGAAGGGCAACGGAAACAGGAAATGAGAGGCGGAGAGGCTGAAAGCGGGAGAGGGAGAGTCAGTCGCTCCTGGAGCGGCAATTCCTCCCCCTGACCCCCCGTGCTGTTTGAGACCGGCTCGCAGCCGTGCGCCCCTTTCCCCAGGCCCGGGCTTGGGGCCCAGCCTCGCCCGCGAACTCGAGGCCGGGAGGCAGCGGTGACATGACTTGAAGCTCCCACCCCTCTGCCCTCAGCCGCCGCCGGGACAGGCCCAGAACTACGACTCGGGGTGGCCCTCCCCCCAGCGGCCCCGCGGCTCGGCGGGCACCGGCTCGCGCACTCTTGGGAACTGTAGTCCGCGGCGCTGCCCGCCTTCTCCGGGAGGCCGGCAGCTCGAGGGAGGTTCTCGTAGCCTCCCCACCTCCTTCTCTTTTTCTTTCCAGCTACAGACACCGGCTTCCCGCACTGACAAGGAATCATTCCCCTTCCAAACGTCGCGTCCAGTCCCGTCCACAAACTTGTCTTGCTCTCTTGAGCCTTCTTCCTGCTTTCCCTTTGCTACTGAGATCCAGGATTCAGCCTGGGCCCTTCAGGTTTTAGGGGGCAAGTTTGGGATCTGACTGCACACACCTCTCCCCGCTCCATCCTATTTCAGCTTCACAGATGGTTCCTCCCTGTCTTCCTACATATTTGCTGAGTTGAAGGTTCCGAAAAATGGGAATGACACACTGTGAACAACGTTTGACATTTCCTCCCCATTTCCAAGGCGGATTCTGCATGATTTCTAGACTTCCCTCCCCAATCCTTCCCCCCCCCCCCTTTCTGGTACACCCTGATAAAGAGACACAGAACTGCAGGTTTCAAAGAGGAAAAAAGCAAATTTGTTGTTGTTGGTAGGAGGGCATGAAGGGGAGGGTTCTTCACCTTCCCCGACTTCTTGTAGATGGGAGGTTGGGGGGCGATAGAAAAGGCAGTAGATGGGGGCGCATGCCCCACTCTGTACAATATAGAAGAATCTGATATAGATACTTTGTATAAAAGCCACTCGTCCTCATTTGTGTCCTCTCGCTGGCTGGCTGGGCTAGGGGGCACTGGGGGACAAAGAAGCTGGGGTGGTGGGCCAGGACACAGGGACACCCCATGGTCCCCATCCTCTAGCTGTCCCCTTGTGGGGTCACTTTGGATCCTTGGTGGGAGCATAGCAGAGCTCCAGCGGCCGGGACACCTTCCAGAACTTCTCATTCACCAGCTCCAGGGTCAGCGAGCCATTCAGTGTCTACAGAGGAAGTGGGAGGGAGAGGCCAGGGAAGAGAAAAAGAAGTTGGAGAAGACAGTAAAGGAAATGAATGAGAGGACCAAGAGAGGAGGGAAGAAAAAGGAACAATAAAACAGATGGGCCAAAGCAGGGGCATATGGAGTGATGGGGGTGAAGAAAGGACAGAGGAGGGAGATGGGAGAAGCAGAGGGAGAAGAGGCGGAGTCAGTTAAGACATCAGGACTATGGCTGTGTGTGGTCCTCCCCTTCCCTCCCCTCTAATACCGCCGCCCTGCCCTCCGAGGCTCTCACCGTGAAAGCTCCGCCCCCAGGGGCGATGTAGATGGTGTACTGCTTTTCGCTGACACCCTCCAGACTGGGCAAGGCAGGCTCCTCGGGGCCGTCACCTCCTCCGGCACCCCCACCCTCCCCACCACCCCCCTCAGGTCCCCCAGCATCGGAGGCGCCCCCTCCAGGCCCTCCTGGTTCCCCCGCCTCTTGCTGCTGTCTCCGCTCGAGGGCGATGCGCAGGGCCAAGTATTTGGAAAGATGGTCCACTGTGGCATTGCCAGTTGTCTTCACATACCTGAAGTGGGGAAGAGGGCAGGTTTAGGGTACAAATAAGAAAGGAAGTAGAGCACTTTCCAAAAGGGCCTCTGGGTTAGGGTTTTTTCCTGGGTCTGGGTGAAGCCCACGTCTGATGGAAGTCTATGTGATCTCTGGTTTCTCAGTGGTCTGGGGCAAGACAGGGTTCTCACCTAGTCTGGCAGTATTCTCCCTTCTCCACGAGCAGGGGGTGGGGCCGGAACACGAGCTCAATTTCTCCACCTGGCTCCGGGGGGCTAGGAGCCCCAGGAGGGCTTGGGGGGCCCAGGGTTCCCCCTCCCAGAGTCCCTCCCCGGTCACCAGAGTCTTCAGAACCGGCACCCCCACCCACCCCACCAGTGCCACCTCCCCCTGTCCCTACACTGCTCCCCCCTGCGCCCCCTCCACGGGGTCGCTTGGGAGCAGGGCCTGGGGCAGAGTCAGGGGCGGAGTCTGAGCTCACATCCTCGCCATCCCCTTCTCCCTCCCCAGGCTCTCCTTCCCCCCCACTCATCGTGGTGGTCTGATCTGACCCAGGCATCGGCCGCCTCACACGCTGGGCCCTGTAGAAGCAAGGGGTTGAGGTTAGAAAGCACCATGGATAAGGAGTTTAGATTTTAAACTTCAGAGAATTAAGAGATTAGGGAAATCTTAACGATGACACCTAATATTTATTAAACATTAACTACATGCCAAGCATACTGCTAAGTGTTTTGCGTTAACTGCCTCAGAAAATACAAATCCTACAAGGCAGGGAATTATTTTCTCTACTTCATGGCTGAGGAAACTGAGACTTAGAGAGGTTAAATAACTTGTTTGACTTCATAGCCCCTCGCCTCTCAAAATGCGGTCCAAGAACCAGTAGCACAGGCTTGTTGAAATACACAACTCCGGACCTACTGCACCAGAATTTGCATTTTTAACAAGGCCCTCAGGTAATCTGGATGCACATTTAAGACCGAGCAATGCTGGTCTAGAAAGTGATTTAATTCCCAGCAGTGTGAATCCAGAGCTTATGCTCAAAATCACTCTACTGTTCTAACTTCCGGAAAGTTAGAGGCCGAGCTATTTTCTTATTAAGAATAGAACTAAGAAGCTACGATTTACATCCATGGCTTCCAGGCCTGACCATCAGGCTGTGGTTCGCTCTAAGGATGCCAAGGTTTAGAAGCAGGGAGGCAGCAAAGACAGCGCCAGGAGTCTGACCCACTGATCTAACCCACCAGCCCTGCTGCCACCTCTCTCCCGGCCCAAACCTGTGCATGGCCTGCATGCGCAGCCCCTCCTCGATGCTGGAGCTCAGTGCCTGCTGGTTGTGCAGGCGGCTGAGGCGGATGAGCACCCGGTCTTGGTGGGCCTCGTATTCCTCCCGGCTGGGATAGATCTTAGAGATCAGGGCATCGAAGTTGGGGTCTGGCCGCAGAGATCGCTTGGATACCAGCTTCTTGCGGCAAGTAGGGCACTCCTTGTTCCTGGGGTGGGAGAGAGGAGGCCTTGAGCAGTCAGTCGCCAGGGCACTGAGGCCCCAACTCAAACATGTCCCTCCTGTTACCCGCTCCGCAGGGCTGTGACAATGCAGTCAGAGCAGAATCGGTGGAGGCACTCCTTGGTGGTCATCGTATTCTTCAGCATGTCCAGGCAGATGGGGCACATGAGTTCTGAATGCAGCGACCGAGGGGAAACTGCAATCTCTGTGCCATCCATGATGGCTTCCTGGAGGCATCGGTGAGTGAAAAGGTGGTGGTGGGTTAGGGGGAAAGGGGTTTTAGAAACAAGTGGTCCACGAAATGAGAGTTTTGAGAAATACAGTGAGATGGTGGAATCCTGGGTACCCCATGTTGGCTACTTAAGGAAGATGGGAATTCTGCGAGAGAGAGAGGGGCTATTGACTTGGAGAGAATGGAGAACAGAAGGGATTAGTGTCCATTAACTAAGCATAAGAGCTTTGCAGTAGGAGGATCTGAAGTTTGATGAAAGGCCTGGGGGGGCGGTGGCAACATTTGCAGTTTGGGGAAGACTTATTCAACAGAATTCCTTAAAGTGTGGTCCTGGTACTACTTATATCAGAATCCGCTAGGGTGCCTGTGACAAACACAGATTCGGAGGCCCCATCCCACTACTGGATCAGAATGCTGGGGGGCGACAGGGGCATCTCCATTTTTAATAATCTCGCAAGGTGACTTTTATATGCACTGATCTCTGACAGTGAACTGAGGAACAGGAAAGGTAACTTCTGTCTGCTCACTACCTTTCAAATGAAGATGGTAATACTACTTGCTTTACCTCTCTGGCCCGGCTGTTTTGGGGATTAAATGAGCCAAATGTGAAAGTGCTTTGAAAAGAATAAGGGAGTTCAAAGGTAGGGCCAAGGCAGTCTGTGAATCGGGCAGGGTCGGTAGAATAGGGCAAAAAAAAATGGAAAAGAGGCGGTGAGATTGGGGTCTGCAGATTGAGGGGTTTGGGGCGAGGGAGTGAGCTGAGAAGGGAGACTCCTTGTCACCTGCGGAGTCCGATGGAGCTCATACAGACTCAGTTCCCACGTTTTGCTGGCATTCTGGGCATTCGCCGGGGTCGTCATGGTGACCGGGCACAGACCCCCACCAGGGCTCCACGGCGGCGACGGAGAGGTGGGCTGGGGAGGGGGGAAAGGGAAGGGGTGGGAGGGTGTTAGGGGGGCCGCCCTCGCGCAGACCCCGCCCTCCGGGGCTCCCCCCTCCGCCCCCGCCCCGCGCCGGCGCGGCCCTCACCCGGCTCCCGCCGTCCGCGCTGCTGCTGCCGCAGCGCCGCTCCCTGGGCCTGGGCTCCCGGGCCGAATTCGCGCGGTCCGCAGCCGCTGCTCAGACAGCAGCTCCCGCCGCCGCCGCCGCCATGGCCCGGGCGCTGGGGCCTACGTCACTTCCGCCTGCCCCTCCACTCCACTCCACCCCCCGCCGACAGAGACGTCACCAGCCACTCGCGGCGGGGGTGGGACGCGACGTGGACGCCCGGGTTCCCCCGCCCTCGGGACGCGTCTGTCCTCCGAGCGGAGCCGGCGTCCCCGGAGTCCCGCGCCACGTGGGGACCACGGTTTCCGTCCCCGGCCCGGCGCCGTCGCGCGGCCACCCTTAGCTGCCCTTCCCTTTCCGAGGCCCCCACTCGGGGCCTCCGCTCCGGAGGGCGGGGCCTGGGATCGCTCGGACCCCGGAGGGGACGGAGGGATTGGAAAAGGGGCCACCTCCCCCACTCGGCGTCCCCTGGCGGCTCTGGGGAACGGCTCCCCCCTCCCCGCCCACAACTTCTCCGTAACCCCAGCCCAGGATTCCGGGGGAGAAAAGCTGCAAGGGCTCCTCTGCCGCTTCAGTCCTCCGGTCCTGTGAACGCAACTAAGTCCCGCTGTGCCCGGGATTCCCCTTACCACCCTGGGGACTTGCTCCACCCTCCGCTTTAGCTCTCCCTAGACCCTCCGACCCGCACTCCCCTCGAGGTTTGGGGGCGGCGGCTCGGGACGTCCAGACTCAACTCTCGGCCGGAGCCAGAGACTCGAGAATTGCGTTTGGACAATCAAGAGCCGCGGCCCGGGGCGGGGGAGGGAGGCGCACGGGAGGAACGGGGGAATGGAGACACCACGCGGAAGCAGGGACACACACACAAGATGGGGCCTCTATCGGGGAGGGGGTGTGCGCCTGTGGGTGGGTGGGGGCATAAGGGGCCGAATGTCTGGAGTGGGAAGCGGGCACAGGTCTCCTCTAGGACTTTCCAGTAAAGGAAGGGCACGGGGAGGAAAGAGAAGAGGAAGGGACAGAGCGATCCCCATTGAGGGCAGGAGATGAGAGGGCTACGGGGAAAAGAGACCGTGATGGGCGTCCTGTCTCCTTCAGCCTGAGCTGGGGCTCCCGGACTTGGGCTGCAGCTGCCAGGGGGTGGCCTGTTTCTGGGACAAGGCAGCAGTGGGTCCCCTCGCCCCCTCCCCCAGTTCCCCCCTACTTCCCTGTCCTCTCCTTCAGTCCGTGGCCAGTCCTTATGTGGGCTCCAGAGTCGATTAGCGCGGACCCCCTCCCCTTCCTCCTCCTCCTCCTAGCCCCCTCCCTTCTGCTCTCCTCCAGCCCCTTTCATCGCTGGTCCATTCCCCTAATCCTGGCCCCCTCCCCTAATCCCCCCCATCCGACCCCAGGCCGGCTGCAGCTATTGTAAGGTGGAGAGAAAGGGAAGGGGGGGACTGAGAGAAAGGAGAGGGGTGGGGGAGGGCCACCTGTTCCAAGACCCCCTCCCAAGGCCAGACTGGACACCGGGATGGGGCCATGAACAAATCACCCTTGGGGACCATAAGGACCCAGGGAATTGGGGGGAGGGGACTGGGGCTGCAGGACTAGTGGAAGGGGGTGGGGCAGACCCCTCCCTCCAAAAAGACCCAGAGTGTCACGCATACACAGTGACACACACTCTCTCCTCTCACACCCGGCGGCGGGGGTTGCCCTGGGAGACCAGGCAGTGAAAGGGAACAATCCTTCGGGGAAGGGAAAGGAGGGGGAGGTGGGGAAGGGTCTGAGGGCTTGGACACAAGAAGAACCGGAGGTGGCAGGGAAGAGGATTTGGAATTTATTAGGGTCACAGGCACCCCTGCCTCCCATATTCAGCATTCCTGAGCCATACACTGCCACCATTTTTGTAGCCTGGGAACTCAGAGTCCTCATCAGCAGGAGGCCGGGCAGAGTGGTGGGGGAGTGAGCAGAGTCCAGGGTCCTTGAGGCAGTTACATGAAAAGACCTCCTGGGAGGGGCAGAAACATTTGGACAGATGCATAGGTGGAGACAAATGGGCTGGGAGGCAAATGCCCACTTCTCTCCTTGGCCTAGGGGAACTTCTGCCCTTCCCTCAGTGGCTCAACTCCCCTCACTTGCTTTCTCATATCACTTGGGTTCCACTTCTCTGCCCTCTCCCTCCCCTCGATGGCCTCATACCAGTGACTTCCACTGAGGCCCCTGTGATGTATCCACTGTCTTCAGATGCCAAGAATGTGACCACATCTGCCACATCTATGGGAATGGTGGGCAGAGAGCAGAATATGCCTCACTCCCATGGATCCAAGGTAGCCATCATCTCCCACCAGAAACACCCCCTCCCTCAAAACACACACACCAACCACCAATCGTGGTGAGACCCTCTCAGATACCATAAAACTTGGGGATCTCTTCATTCAGGCCCCCTCCCCAGGGTCCTCCCCACTCAGTGCTCACCCTCAGGGTCCCCCATATGTCCCATGGGGATCATTCCAGTCACCTGTAAGGAAACATTCCTATGTGGGTGAAAGTTTCTTTTATGGGTTTTTTTGTAGACTGAGTCTGTGACCCTTTTTTCTTTTGTCTTCATTCCTTTTATACTTATTGAGTATCTACTATTTGCCAGGCACCCTGCCCAGCATTCTCTCAAGTCCAGAAAGGTTGGCTCTCTGAATGATTCTGCCCTCTGCCCTCCACCCACAGCCTCCTACCTTGTCCAGAACTTTCTGTGGCACTTTCTGTGTCATGGGTGTTTTAATGAACCCTGGGAGGACAGAGTTACAGCGGATGCCATGTCTGTGGAAGGAAGGGTGGCCGCTGACTCTGGAGAAGACTGAACACTCACCCCTCCCTCAGACCTCCCATATGCCTCAGCAAAGCCCCCCTCACCCCCAGGTGTCTGACCAACCGTCCCAGCTCTCGGGCTGCAGTCTGGGTCAGCCCAATCACTCCAGCCTTGGATGCTGCGTAGTTTGTCTGTCCCACATTCCCCACCTATAGGGGAGTCAGAGATTTGGGATGAGTCAGGAGTCCCAAGGAGGGCGTCTCTTCTCTACGCACTTGGCTGGCTGACCTCCTCCCAACTCGACCTGACCTTCCCTACGATGCTGCTGATGTTGATGATGGAGCCGTGACAACCACTGGACACCAGGGCTTGGGCTGCAGCCTGAGTGACTAGAAAGATACTCTGGGGGGAGGGAGTAACAAGACAGAAAGGATCAGCTGGGTGACAGTCCTCCTCCAACTCCCTTCCCAGGCTAGAGGGGCCAAAAGTTACAGGTTCAGAGGTCACCACCTTGAGGTTGACAGCTATGACTTTGTCCCAGTCATCCTCAGACATGTGGAGCAGAAACTCATCCCTGGTGATGCCCGCACAGGACACAACGACAGACGGCGGGCGAGAAAAGCAGTCCTATGGAAGAGGGAGGTTACACGCCAAAAACCCAGAGGCAGTGGAGGCAACGTTAGCGCTTTAAAGGGGGCGAGGTCGTTTCGCGTTCACCTGCACTTGTTCCAGCAGGCGCCTGGCGGCCCTGGCCTCAGAGACGTCAGCCTGGAAGGCAGCGTGGGCCCCGCGGGGCGCCTCCTCCTCGCTCCCCGGCCCGCCCAGCAGCCGCACTGTCTCCCGTGCCGCTGCCCCGTCCAGATCGCAAGCGGCCACGGTGGCCCCCTCTCCGGCCAGGCGCACACTGACAGCTCGGCCGATGCCACTCCCCGCACCTGAGAGGGGCGAGAACACGCAGCGGGGGTAGTGGGGAGAGTGGGCAGGGGTCAGAGGTCAACAGGGCGCAAAGTTAGTAAAGTTAGGACAAGGGGCGAGACTTCACAACGGCTGCAGAGTCCGAGGGCGCGCCCCTGACATCACTCCGGCACCCCAACCCACCCTGGGAGAGCATCCCCTCAACCTGTGACCAGGGCCAGCGCGGAGCGGAGCCGAAGCTGAGACGCCATGGCGGGCTGCGGGCGGAGAGCGCTCCAGCACTGAGCCAATCGGAGCGCAGAGGGGGCGTGGCGAGAGCAACGCCGGGCCAATCAAAGCGCCGCCAGCTTTAGGCCATCTGCGGCCACCGGTGCAGGCGGACCTCCCACCGCGGGGGCGTGGCCAGACACAAGCGCTCTGGGGCCTGGGGAGCAGGGAGATGAGGGGCCCCCTTCCCCGAAAAAAACACAAAGACTGCGTGTGGGGCGGACGATCCAAGGACTTTATTTCCGGTCACCACCCCACCCGTTGATTCAAACAGTGATATAAAAAGAAGAGAAACAAAACAAAACAAAAAATCAGGACATGAGATTAGCAACTAACTCCCCCTCCCCCCAATCACTCCCAAATCAGGACGCACGATTGATGTTTATCCTCCATTCCTTCTACTACCCGCTCTGTCCAGTACTCTGGTCTTCCCTGAAGCCTCCACCAATGGGTGGGAGAGGGAGGCCAACCCTGGAGAAGCCTGTATATGGCAGTTTGGTCCACTGAGAACAGGTAGGGTAGGGAACATGGGGTAGGCTGTCATCTGTCTCTTCCAGCCTTCTTCATGGCCCCATTTAGTCGCCCAAACCCAACAACATGGTCAGCACATGCTCAACTCTATGGTCCCTCTGGCCTCTCATTCTCACCTCCACAGTCCCTGTAAGACCGCCAAACCTTGATGGCCCTCATGCCAAAGTCACCATTTCCCTAAGATCCAATTCCTTCCTTTGGCAGATGTCCCTGGCCAGGGACCCCAACATCCACAGACCCCTGCCCAGGAGGACAGAGGTTTGGGGCTGGGGTGGCGGTGGTTTATCCCACCTCTCACTCAAGGTGGGCAATCAGCACCATCATGACAACTCCCCCCAGCAGCCCCAGCACCTCCAGAAGTGACTGCAATGGTGATGCCTCC